GTTCAAAACCTACAAAATCTTCATTGCTTTCACTGTAATTTATTTTTTTATTATTTAGGGAGCATTATAAATACTTATGCTTTTAAAAGAAAAAACTACTATTGTTATAAAAAACACATTCAATTGAACTAAACTATGCATGCCTATTTAAATATATTTACACATGTCTTGTGTATATTGTATATATACATATATACTATTCATACCTTCGGTGTATAGGACGCAAGCAGATTTTGACATCAAATTTTGGCGTAAAAAAGTGCGTCTTATATACCGAAAAATACGGTATTAAATTATAAAATACACTGTTTACAAGAGACCCGAAGAAGGTAATGATCTCGTTTTACAGAATAAAGGTTTTTACGATGATTTGACTAAGAGTTATTTAGAAATATAATATATTGTTTTGTAAAATATCGTTCTTAATGAAAGAACCATTATTCTGTTTAAACAGCAAGCAAGTAACTTTTTTATTGACTTGAATTTTTTATTGATTTCATAAGTAAAATTATAAGGTTTTTTATAAATTACCCAAAGTTCACAGACCTCATGAAATAACCCCGTTCTGTTATAACTGAATATTTACTGTTACAGAGTCTTCTAAATTTACAAACTCGTCTAATTATTGCTGGTCAAAACAGTGCTTCTTTCTGTTTCAGTGAGTTTATGGAAAAAATTTTGAAATATTTTATAGCTAACAGTAATATAAGTTTTACCTAATACTTTCAAAAAATACCTTTAATATTGTCTCTTTTAACATCAGATTAACCTTGAATCTGGTATAGAAGTAGTAAATTCCTTTTTATATATAGTTACTTTGAACTTCAAAGAAATTCTAAAGATTTTGTATATCATTTTAATAAAAGATATTTTTATTTACAAAAATGAGACATGACACCAAGTTCGTGATACTGCCATGGAAACTAATAGCACCACATTGCCATACTTACAACGAGTTTATTAGATAATGCTATGGTAAGAGGCACTTCAATTTATTTAAAAAAAATAAATAATTTAGATTTGTTTATAATGGTTCTATTTTGAAAAAAAAATAAAAACCTTTCCTGTTGAAGATAAAAAGAGATGAAATACCGTTTCTTGATATCATGGTTTGTAAAAAAAATACAGTGATGTCAATCACTATTTGACTCGAATTTTGATTTCAGAAATATATTTTAACGCAAAAATTATCATAAACAATTTTATTTGCACCAACGGTTTTAGCCCAGAATCTGAAAAACTTAATAACAGTAAAGCATTCCGTTAATATCAACGCATTATAACACTTCTAGTAAGGGCATTGAAGGAGTATGAGCTCTGTTAAAAGGACTGCGTTTAAGAAAGACTACAAATACAGTAAGTAACTGAATAATTTTAAAACTTTCTAAATCATAAAAAAAAGAAATATTAAAAGTAGCTATATTTAGTACTGAATTATAGATCATGTTAAAGTCAGACCCATCAGTGATCTAGTACAAAACTATATCATTGTAACGTAGATATAAAAATCTAGGCTTTGGGAATTTTTAAGTGGAGTAAGTGTTGGTAATTCTATAAAAATAGATTATATTTTTTAACACTGTAATCAAGGCAACGTCCCAAAGTTTTACACTGGCGCTTCTGTTGTCAGTTTGTGATTGTAATTTTTTTTCGTTTGACACAAACCGACACAAGGGCTATATGCGCTAGTTGTCCCTAATACAGTAGTGAAAGACTAGAGTTAAGGCAGCTAGTCATCACCACCTACTGCCAACTCTTTGGGCTACTCTTTTACCAACGAATATTGGGATTGGCCGTCACATTATAACGCCCTCGTTGCTGAAAGGGCAAGCATGTTTAGTGAGACTGGGATTCGAGCCCGCGACCCTCAGATTACGAGTCAGGCACCCTAACCACGTGGCTATGCTGGACCATTTTATGTTTGAAAGGCGTCTTGTTTCTTCCATTCATATCGTATCAATAAATGCACCCCTTTTATAATATCAAATGCAACAAAAATAATGGTAGAACACTCCACATTCAAAGCATATTTTTCAAAAGATTTTGGTGTCATTTGGCGGCTGAAAAGGCGAGCATGTTTGGTGTGAAGGAGATTCGAACCCGCGACCCGCAGATTGCGAGTCGAGCGCCCTAACCACCTGGCCATGCCGGGCTTCAATAACCTTTAGCCACTTCATAGTGCATCGTATTTTTATGATTTTTCTTTTCAAGCATAACTTGCAATTTCCAGTAACGGATAGCATGTTACAGTCAGAAATTTTAATGCTGTTGATGTTATTTATGAGTATAATACGAAATACACAAATAATTTCGAAGCTTAACCATTCTTTAAAACATTTGAGCCGTGTGCTTGTATGCTTTTGTTAAGTAAGAATATACACATCTCATTAACCATTAGCCATATTTACATATTCTCGGTTTACAAGACCAAAAAGTTACTTCTTCTACACTCGAAATATTTTTATGCTTGAAATTTGTTTGTTTGTGTTGAATTTCGCCCACTATTCGATTAGAGTAACCCATGAATTTGCGGTGGGTGGTACTGACTAATTGCCTTCCTTTTACACGACAAGCGCAGATAGCTCTCGAGTAGCTTTGCACGAAACAGCTATAAATAGTTCAAATTCGATGATGATGACAAAACCTTGTCGAAACGTTGTGCATTTGCTGTTATTTTAAACTTATATTAAAGTTTTTCTTCATTACCCATTCAAGCCGTCTCCAGCCATTATTAGCTATAAAGAGGCTTTGTTATATCTGTCAATACAGTAATAAACATGCATTTAATTCTGCTATGAAGAATAATTAGTTAAGAAGCTGTAATATCTGTTACAAAGAATACTTCATTAACTGAAATTGAATATCATGTCATTACAGTTAAATGTTTTATTAATCAGAATCATACCAAACTATTCATAACTTGGCTAGCTAAAAATGATGGAAAAAACAGTCTAAATACATATAAAAATATTTGCTGAATATTCACTGGACCTCATCTTTCTCTATAACAGGGCTTGAATATCATCCTAAACTCTTCGTTCTTTGTTTCTTTTCTGCAGATTGCTGTTAATGGAAAATATGAAAACAAAAGAGGCGTGCTCCATGGTACTGAACCTCTTGAAACGTATATATTCGTTATCAAAACGTGTACCAAAACTTTCTTAAGCTTATACATTATTCAATAACCTTTGTTTGTTTGTTTTTTGAATTTCGCGCAAAGCTACACGAGGGCTATCTGCTCTCGCAGTCCCTAATTTAGCAGTGTAAGACTAGAGGGAAGGCAGCTAGTCATCACCACCCACCGCCAACTCTTGGGCTACTATTTTACCAACGAATAGTGGGATTGACCGTCACGTCATATTATAACGCCCCCGATTTGACCGCCACTCTTATAACACACCTGTGACCTTAAAGTGCGGAGCGCGTTTTTTTTTATTGCGCAAATCACCGAACAGTGAATCTACTGTTCTGCACGCTAATCACAGGGTTGCTCTTAATTCCTACCACCGGTAGTTCAGCGGTTAGCTTGAGGGTTTATAACGGTAACATTCGTGGTTCTATCCTTGCGATGAGCAAGCACGTATCCTCCACCGTTTAGTTTTCTGTTTAAAACATATAAAGATATCATAAAAATATGCGTAATGATTGCTCAATTTGGTAAATACAAAGAACAAAATAATTATATTTATCTTCTAAAGATAAAGATAATATAAATTATGTTTGCTGCTTCACGGATAAGTATAATTCAAAAATATGCTTATAATACTCAACAATGGATAAATGCATAATTATTGCATATTTACTACTCCTTGATGAAATAAATAGCTTGGTTTTATGTATTTTGTAAGTAATGACATATTTCACTTTTATTTAAGGTTAGTTACATTAAATTGATTAGTTATATATGTTGAAAATATTTACACTTATAACGATTATGTTGTATTTTTAGTTTAGTGAATAGATTTAAGACTAACCTAAATCACGTAAGCTGGCCAACTTCGTAAGATACTATTGGACTTACAGCTAAAAGTTATCATTAACAGCGAGAGTACTCAGTTGATGAATCAATTAATGCATTCTAATAGTAATAGGCTTTTATATTTTTCTGTTGATTTGAGAAATTATGTATTTCGAGTCTGTTTGTTGTATAGAATTACTTTTTAGTTCTGATTCTCAAAGTCAGCCTTTTTTTCAGAAGTTATTGATAATTAGTATTTGAGGCAGGTAATTTTCATAGTAATACCACTTCCATAATAACAATATTTAAGATGGGTATTAGAATCAGAAATCTTCAGACCCATTTAATTTGGGTATATTTTCCAATATAAACATATATATATATGAAATATTTGAAATGAATTTTTTTTGACGTTTTCGAAAATACATTTTATATTCTCTCTCAGATCATTTGATTTCTAATAAAGCTAATAGACAGAATACATTCATTCACGATCTCAAAGAAAGAGTTATAGTTCATAAATTATGGAATCTAATCATCATAGATTTTAGTTTTTCGTTTACTGATTTATGGAATTTGGTATTTCTAGTCAGTGTGTTTACACAAGACGGTTTTCATAAATTCATAATTGCTATGTTCAATTATCTTAGCTCTGAACTATATAGTTATTTCACAGTTCATCAGAAGTTCTTAATAGAAATCCCATCTCTTTTGGAGACTACAGTATATGACACAAATGTAATTATGATTTCTTGTGCTACAAATCTGTCCAGATTCCATAAATAAAGACCTATTTTTTTACATTTTATTCAAATGTATATTGGAAATTACTTGTTAAGCTATTATAAAAGAATTAAATTTTGTCCCTCGGTGGCATAGCCATAAGCTTGACGATTATTATCGCAGTTCGATCCTGTTGTGGGCAAAGGACATTTAACCCATTGCGTAACTTTGTGCTTATCAATAAAAAAAATATTTATTTCTTATTATGAATGTTTATGGGTTGCTTTACCGGATAGTAGAAGCAGATCTGTTAGCCAGTGGATTAACTGAGAATGTTTAACAAAAATATTGCCAGAGGAAGACAACAGTTGCTTAAAAGAAGTTTTATATAAAGACTCATCCTGAACGTGGCCTCATTTTATTTAAAAAAGTTAAACGAAAGGCAACTGTTTTTCAACTACCGTTTAAAACGAGCACTAACTCTTATCTCACTAATATACAAAATTAGGTAAAATAATAAGTCACTAATTAAGTTTTTTTTTGTTAAAATTGCAAATCAAGAACCTCTCACTCTTTTATTAAAAATATTCCAATTTAAAAATTACCAAAATCACTTGATGGCATTCTCATGAATAATTTCATCTCAATAAAGCATTTGAGTACGTAATAGCTTATTTGTAAAAAAAAAAAATCTAAACATTACATAATCTATAGAACAATCAGTGTTACATCTTACTCACCTACCCTGCTTGTACCAAACGTTGTTCGCTGAGACCATTTCACAGTAAGCGATGACTGTGTTTTAGATAACATCTCCAGGTCAGGAGCACTGGGCGGAACTAAAAAGCAAAATATTATATTTAAACATTAAGACTTTTATTAATTCGCTAAAATAATACGAGCAAGAAAGCATGTTTTGACCACTCTTACTTGTAGCATTAATCATTAGTGAAGGCTTATAAAACCATACTCAAAATATCTTTAATAAAAGACACAAACACATAATTGCCAACCAATTTTTATGCACAAAGTCTAGAATATAGATATAAATACAAATTAACAAGTAAATGATGAGACACTGTAATTTATATCAACAATACGTATTTATGTTTGTTTTTAACATTTCCTAACTTGTTGAATTACGCTACCATACCGATGATGCATTGTTCAGGTCCTGACAGCTTTTGTATATGACAAAATATGGCCCTAAAACTCTAAATCTATAATTTTATAAGCATACATAGTATGACAGAAAATTTGCTGTAAGCGTTGTACATGTTTATCTATTTATATTCCGTTACGAAAAGTTCGGGGAGTAGTTTTCACAAGTTACTTCACAAAATACAACTGAATACATCTTACTTACATAAAGCTATCAGTAATAATAATGTTTTATCAGCGTGAAAACTCTACCAAACTCACTAAACACCAGGAAATCTTAATAATTGATGATCTCGAGGAACCAAATATTTAAATATATGGCTTTGTTGAACTTGAAACTAGTTAACTATCCACCATTATTATTAATATACATCCCATGTCTTTAATTACTCTTTTTGTACGATAAGTTTCGAAATAATAACACGCGAGATATTTTTCTAACATTTTTTATGCGTTCTTTCATAATATAATTTATTAAAATAATTCATAATTTAGTACAAATTCTTAAGTAGATTAACTTGGGACAATGTGAAGAGAAGTATATATATTTTAAGTTAAATAACCTATAAACCACTTAGAAGATTTGAGGATTCCCGTCCTGAAAATATTTCCGAAGCTATAATTTTGTTATATAAAATCTTATTTGCTAATTTTTATGAAAGTATCTTACTTCTGATATAGAACTCGAGGGTAAATGTGTCAGGTTGTAGATTTGAATGTGTTTGTGTGTTTTTTAGGTAATCTATGCTACTTAATGACCATGACCAATTTAAGTTTCGCATTTGCGACTTAGCCTTTGGGAAATATTCCTTGCTATTCAACAAATGATTTTATTAGCCTAAGGAAGAACCTCCAACAGAGAGGACCGAACATGGTCTAGTGGTTAACGCGCTGGACTATGGATCAGCCTATCCATAGTTAGCGTTCCGTTACCATTAAAACATGGTAAAAATTGCGCTCCTCAATTTAGGCCGCGGGCGCGTTATAAAGGTGACGTTCAAATTCTACTATTTGGTCAGACAAGAATAGTCTAAGAGTTGACGGGACGCGCTGTTGATTAATTTCCTTCCCTTCAGTCTAGCAACACAAAATTAGGGACGACTAGTGCAGGTTGCCTGCGTATAGCCTTGCGGAAATATCTGAAAAAAGAACAAAAACAAATCCAACAGAGAGAGGATTAAACAAATAATGAGAGAAGTTTTATACAAGTAGTTAAATTGTACAATGGAATTTACTTACTAAGGTCTAAATAATGTTATTTGCAAAAAAGCCAGATAAAAGACTGATTAATGGTTAAAGGCTCAACTGAAGCAACAGCTACATAAGTAAAAAAGTATAATGAAACACTTCTGGTTTCATTTTAAATAAGTTACTGAGCAAAAACTTTTCAAACGAAGTAACAAAGTTTTTAATATGTATATATAAAAGAACAACGAAAAACCTTAGACATTATGATGTGTAATGTACAAATATACAATACCATCATCAAGTGTTTTCACTTCTGTTTCATCAGATCGAGGACCTAGGCCTTTGTTATTGAAGGCGTGGATAATGATATGATAGATGGTTGATCTCCGTAGATTTGTCAGATGAAATTGGATACGCTCCTCCACATCTTTTACATCGAACGACTTATACATGTACATTGTTTCGTCTGCAGGTCTATAGCCGATGTAATACCCAATAATTTTTCCGTTCCAATAGTCTTGTCTTGGCGGCTACATAGAATTTAAAAAATGTAAAAGTAATAGTTGTGTAGAAAAGTATCCTGTAACAATTCCGAGTGTATTCAAAGCAATTTCACATTTTTTTTTGCATAATAACATAGATATAACACTGCAGTGAAAAAAAAATCCCACTGAAACTAAAATTGTTCATCATTAGCAACATGACAATAAGTACTCAAGATCTACGTGACAATTAATTTACTTTTATTTCCTATTTTATTTGCAAAATGAAACCTTGTGTTATTTTACCTTTTGATAATACAGAATACAGTAAAACCAAAGCAAATAAACTTACGTTAAAGAGGCCCTTGTGTAGCTTTATGTTTAAAAACAAATAACTTTACGTTAGAGCATGATGAGTATGTAATCAAGATTAATGAGATATTGGCTAATTTAAAAATAATTAAGGACTGAGTTTCCGTTACTATCATCTGATTAAAAGTATCCCGCACAAAAGGTACAGAATCGCTTTTTAGTACACACTATAAATACATATTATATTAGATGACGATACGTTTATTAGTAACTCATTTTAAATTCAACAAGCATGCGCATTTGGCTTTTGGTTAAATAGGAAAATATTTTGAAATCCTTTTTCTTGTATAAATGGTTTCCGGAAACGCAAATTATACGTTTAATATAGTGAAATGGCAAACTTATTCCATTCTAAATTTCTTGTCACGAAATATTGAAAATAAACATTGGTTATGGACTCCCATTGTCGTATATCTAATTTGAGGAAAATAAGGAGCTTTTTTTGTTTTTATATTATATATGCAATAATAATATGTTTTCCAGTACACAAAAAGCATCCTTTAGTATTTCGCACAACAAATATGTACAGAGTTATATATTCAAGACCTCAGGGTCACAGGTATCCTAAATCTACCAAGTCCCCCGCTGGGAAAGTGGTAAGTCTACGGATTTACAGCGCTATAATCAGGGTTTCGATTCCCCTCGGTGGACACAGCAGATAGCCCGATGTGGTTTTTCTGTAAGAAAAACACACACACACACACACAAAATTTACCAAAGTCTAGTTATGTTCCTTGAATAACGAGTATATAGTACAAATTAGCTTAGTTTAGCTTCTATGTAGACTGCCCCCCAGTGGCACAGCGGTATGTCTGCGGACCTACAACGCTAGAAACCGGGTTTCGATACCCGTGGTGGGCAGAGCACAGATAGCCCATTGTGTAGCTTTGTGCTTAACTTCAAACAAACTTCAAACCTCTATGTAGACTATCGTTTATGGTAGAACTGTACTGCAATACAATGGGCTACTTTAATATTACATATAGAAACAGCTTTAACGTTATCACAGATTTTCTTATTTTTCAGTCATTGATACCATTATTCCTTATAATGACATAGTCCATCTTTTTCATAATTTGATTTATATCTAAGTAAGGCCTCCAAGTCCTCAAGAAGAGATTTTTATGTATTATGTACATGTATGTTTTGAATCAGTAAAATATCCAGAAAAAATGTCAAAAACTAACATTAAAATACTTCTAGTAATGATTATAAGGTTTAAAATGCTTAACAATTACCTTAAATAAAATCCACAGACTCTCTTTATTACACGTATTTTGATGTTTTGTGAGATAACATAATTGATGTATTACGTGTAAAAATAAATAGTTTCATAATAAACTAATTCATAAAATAAATGGGCACAAAATTTCACTGACAGTTCTGCCTTTTGTACAATCTTTATTTATATAATTTTTTAAATCCATTCATCATTCTTAAGTGCTTGAACAATTCTTTGTGCTAAACAATAATGAATATTTATTTTCATATGGGTTTAGGTTATTACTATTAAAATCTAAACAGGCGTGAGCTTATAAAATATATCTATTTCTAAAAATATACACCATTTTTTCGATACACCAATTAATATACATGAATATATGGTATATACATATTTTGATTGCCAAAAGTAAAATTAATTTTTAATGTATCTCCTGTTAATTCAAGGTTATACCTTGTTCACAGGCACTTGATCTTAGGAAGAAAAAAAAAGATTTGTGGATCCAATATGAAGAAGGACAAGTGTAGCGATTTATTGCAAGTGAAATATAAGAGGCAAGATACGGTGTTTCAGTCAAAATAAAAATTAACAATTAAAACTATATATTTTCTGTACTAAGAGGAATGTTAGCAGGTAGGTGGTTTCTATGATTATTTAAGTAGTAGAACTATCGCAAGAAAAAAAAAATGAATATAGATAATTGACAAACACAGCATTCATACACGATCAACAGGTGTAAATGCGGTGAGAGAAGGATGGGTATTTCACAAGTGAGTCTTGATTGTCTGAGGACAAAGACGAACTGTCTTATTCAAAAGTTGGAACAAATATTCTGATAGCGCCAAAACTGTATTCACAATACACATTTACTCTGTACTTGACTAATAAAAAACAGTCACCGGAATGTGGAAATATTTCTGTTTCGTTTCAAAGTCGCAAGTTATCTACTAAAAAGCAAGGTCAAGTAAGATAATGCGACTATTCCATGAAACAACAGAAAAGTTTCTTGACCGGTCAAGCTACGAGAAGTTGTAATTCAGGTTGAATCTTGTACTTGATCTCCACCAGATTTAAAATGTTCCAAAATTAGAATGTAGAGAAATGTAATTGTTTTTTAGACATGCGAAGTAAAGTATGTAGAATTTGATTATTACAACCTTTCTATTCGTTAACTTAAACAACTCCTCAAGCTGACTTTCATTCACAGGTGCCGCTGGGCACTGGCACACGGAGACCGTACCCCAATTCTAGTTGACAGTGCCCCGAATCACCATTTGGTGTCTAGAAAAACCAGAATATGAAACCATGATCGTATCATACTGAAGCGCCAAATATTCTCCCGCCTATGGGCCCGGCCCCGAATTTTTTACGTACTTAGCGACGCCTCAGCTTTCATTTTGATTTAATACCAGTTAAACAATTAAAGAACGATTTGGAGAAATCACAATCCACGATAACGCTGGCCATGCCAGACAAATGTTTTACAAACTGCACAGAATCAAATTCTCAAAATTTACAACACTCAAATAAAAACAAACAAACTTTAAATTGCAGCAAAATGATATAAAATAAAATACACATGGAATAGGAGCAGAAAAAGATAGAATGAAAAAGACATGCCAAATTGGGAAAACACTTAACTACTGAAGTATATAATAAGAAAAATATAATGAGAGAAAGAGGACAAAAGAAGAAAAAAGAAGGAAAATTATTGAATAAAATAATTATAATCGACATTTAATTACAAATTAAACCACACTATTACAACAGTGGAAAAATCAAAAGATTTAAATTACATACTGAAATGACATCAAAAATAAAATTAACATAAACCCTTTTAAATTATAAAATACTAATTACCCACAAAAAGAAATAAAACCTCTCAAAATAATTAAACCCTTTATAAGTTTATTTTTATTCATACATACAATTAACAATGGGAAATATACAAAATATACATATTCATCGTTAGGTGCTCTGTTTATTTCAGAGTGGCAAGTGAGTTATCTAAGGCTATTGTTGATCGACATACTTCTGACATTAGCTTGTCATGAGTTTCTTCACCTAGGTCAGCTTTCTCTTGATTTCCGCAAGTTCTGTTTGAAGTCATTAGATTATGTCAGTGGCTTTGGAGCCCTTCCCTTCTCGTTTTCAGCAGTGATCATCCTCGTGAAGTATATAGTTCCAGGTGGCCTTACAGTATTATGCCTAAGATTGGCAATAATTTCCCCTTTATCATTGCTCACAAGTCATACGCCTCCAGGGTGCCCTGTGAAGGGCTCCACTGGCTCCTCCTGCCAGAGACAACGAGGCAGCCAAAGCCATTGGAGCCACAGCAAGTTTTAGCAGCAGAGGTGTGAGATGGAGTTTTCCTTCCTTTATGCCTTCACAGAACTCTGCCAATTTAACCTTTTTTGGCTGAGTAGGCTTCCTTGCATGAACTACAGGGTAATTTATCCATCATACTCCAACTAGGGGTAGACTATTTTGGTTTTTATAGGCTGTGCTCCCATATCTTGTTCTTATATGGGTGACATTATTGGAGTCCATCTGACGAGTAGGCAGCATAACAGCAGATTTATGGAGATTGCTTAATCAGTTACTGCTCACCTTTGTTTTGGTTCTAGCTTTGGCAATTGTATCTTCTCTTTTGGCTAGGAAGAGGAGACACCTGAATCATCAGAGGACAACGTAGACAGATTGCCTATCACCCATAAAAATCAAGGAGAAACATGGTGACTGGTGGGAGCTGAACTGTCACTCGAACCCACTAACACCTCTTCTGCCTCATCATCAGATTGTGTTTTCAGATAAATTACAGGGGGTGGTTGAGACCTATCGACCTCCATAGGTATGTATCTAGAAGCTCTCCTAGGACTGCATGTTTATATCCAGTATACCTTCCATGGCAATGGATAGAGATTGAGTCTGGAACAGAGTTCATAAAAGGTCAGTCACTACTGAACTGTTCAGTAGTAAGACCAAGAATGGAGATTTCAACTATTGCTTTTTAACAATCTGAAATTCCGAAATAAAGAAAAGGCAATAACACCAGGCTGGTAAACCTATCGAGAGAAAGACCTGTAGTTTCAGTTTCATTATAAGGTGGTGATTGGTGAAACCTAAATTCCAAAATATACATTGGACTTTCACGCATTATCAATGTATAGTTGAATGTATAGGGAGCTGTCACGACAATGCTCTCATCATCATCTGTGGTTTCTACTTAATCACTCTCCACCTCTTGGTCAAGCCAGAGTTGTAGAGGCTCATTGATAACATACAACCTTAGCTTATCAATGTTATCAATGTGCTTTTATATGTCATACCTGTTAAAAGATTCGTGTTCGTCGTTTGCCTGGATGAAGGAAGACTGTCTTTCCACAGGGAACATACGGGAGGTGGTGCAGTACATGTTTGAGCAACTACTCATCATGGAGGCAAATACTGCTCTTCATATTCTCCAAGGAAACGTCAATGGCGCCTCTTACAGGCATCACATAGAGGCGATATTTTTGCCATATGCTAGAGCAAGGTTTAACAATAATTTTGTGTTACATGATGACAATGCCGCTGCCCACAGTGCCCTTATTGTACAGGATTATCTCGAGCAGGAATACATTACAAGATTACCATGGCCAGCCAAGTCTCAAGATTATTATCCCATTAAGAACTGTTGGGTAGAACTGAGCCAGAAAATTGCTAACCACGACCCTAAACCAGCTATTGTAGCTGAGTTGCAGCGTCTTCTAGTGGCAAGTTAGGATGAAATCACGGTGATTTCATCAATTGCTTCATCTACATCATGCCAAGTCGCTTTGAGGATGTTATTATAGTACGATGGAGAACAAACAAGTAGTGAATGTTTAATATGAACTGATATAACGCTACAGACGCTTTTTATGATAACCTGATGTTATATTTTGTCAATATATATGTTTTGGTGAGGTTTTATAGTGGTAGAGGAAATGCTGAGTTAAACATCTTTTTACAGGTGCCTGATAAAATTGTTTGCTGTTTTAATAAGTCGTTTGTGGTGTCCATAGAACCTGTCTCATTATACAGACTACATAAGTAAATGTTTAATATGACATGCATTTTTCATTTTGACAGGGTTAGATGTATTTGTTTTCCATCTTAATAATAATGATTGTATTTGTCACAAAATATGTGAACATTTCTGGCCCAAACTGTAAATACAACTTTTAGCAACAACTATAGATTACTTAAGTTGAGTGTGATGTCATTCAGTTTGTACAATGCACCAGCAACTTCCAAAGTTTGACAAAAGTTGTAATGAGAGCTTTGTGGAAAAATGTCTGTTTTGTTTTAACATTTTTCAGAACCCAGTGGAATAGAACAGTCTTCCACCGGTTGACATCTAAATGTCCTCCACTGATTCTAGAAATTTCAAGCACTGTAAGAATGGTTATCACGGAGGAAGAATAAAATCCACTAAAATTCTTTAGTTTAACTTCTGTAACCTGACTTGTATGAAGGTTTGCTACTATGTATTTGCTTCTGCTAAACTAACGTGTCCAACAGTGATGTGTAATTCTACTGGAGTAAGAACATTTTTTTCAGTATCTGGGTAATGTTACACGAAAGTCAATAAAGAAATAAATCGTAACAAGATGACTAAACTAAAATTGAATCAAATAAACTTCAAACTGCCTAAAGTTTAGATTTGAAGTGAAATGTAGAATAATAAGAAATCTAGAATATTGCTATATAAACATAGTTCAACACGCTGATCCAATATGACTTCAGATAATTGCACAAATAATGTAAGGTTTTGTAGATTCAAATTAAAACAAGAAAGGAATTAATGCAAAAGGACAAACATCATCTGTTTTGCCTCAAGGATACGAAAGGATATTGCAGAATACAGTAGTGATGTAGCATTTGAAATTAAAACATTTGAATGAATGTTTAGAAAACTTATTAACTGTCTTAGTCAAGAGCATTAATATAAGCAAAAGTATGATTGCCAGCCTTGGATATTGAGGTCAGTGGAAGTATTTTATATATCGAATTTGTAACATGCGTTTGTTTGTTTGTAATTAAGTACTAAGCTACACAATAGGCAATCTGTGCTCTGCCCACCGTGGGTAGTGAAACCCGGTTTCTAGCGTTGAAAGTCCGTAGACATACCGTTTTGCCACTGGGCGACTGTAAGATGTGTATAAAAATTAAAGATATATCGTTAAAAAAGTACATATAATATGTAAATTCATTTGCATTGATTGTTAGCAATTGTATCCCAGCTTATGCTCAACAGCAGATCTAATTATTTATCCAGCTGGGTTCATGTGATAATATCTGAAAGTTCGGCGCAATTATTTAAAATTTAGTACAAATATGACACCTGCCCGCACTACGGTTTCATATTCATTAAATTAAAATGATATCAAACTGGATTTAGAACGAATATTAAAAGTTAGAACACGCTTTTTTTTCTTTCCCTTAATAAAAACAGTCATATGTTTAGTTCTATCAATAACTAATGCCACTTTTTAGGTGAGTTTGGCTAATATTAGCAGATATTAAAGGTATTCAAAAAGCTAAGACAAGATGATTTCTTAAAACAAAATGTTTCTGAAGCAGTAGTCCTTGATAGTAACTTTTAAATCAATCGTTGAAAGCGTGTTATTGTGGGATCAGCTGTGTCGCTTCACTAAATGAACTTATGCAGCATTTATCTCATTTTATACACAACGATCATAGTTATTTTACCAGTAATAAGCTTGAATGATTACATAGAACTTGAAACATCGAAGTACACACAAAATAATTTAAATTCATTCTACTTAAAAACAGGGGCAAATTATCAGTAGCAATAGACATTAGAGGCTAACAATATTGCCTTTTTGTTTTCTTTATGCAACCTTCTTAAAGCATTCTTTATGTTATCTTTCAACTTCCTTTGTCGTTTTCACTGACTTTAGAATATATGATGTTATTATATAAGTTTCGTAAAGCACAATTACCGTGAGGAAGTAAAAAAATATTTAAAAATAAGTAATTTAAACTTAACTGTAATTATTTAAATCAATGATTAACTTTTTAAAGCATATCTAATTTGTTGCCAAATACGTATAACCTTACCTTCCATACTACTTTGATTGAGTTAGGCCCAGTTGCTTGTGCTGTGACGTCTTGAGGTGGACCACTTGGAACTGTATAGTTAGGTAATTTCAAAACACCTTACTACAATATGATATCGATTTTAAAAATGCACAATATACTCTATCATATTAAACATTTCTAAGCAAGAAATACAATTGAAATGAAATCAAAATGCCAATGAACAACTTGAGAGAAACTGAGAAATAAAACTTTATTAATTAGCATAGTTTCAAAATATAGGTAAGAAAACACCATCTTATTAGTTTTGTATAGTTTTCATTTTAATAAGATAACATTATCTTATTAAAATGAAAATTATACAAAACTGCTGTAGGCTCCAATTTACTTTTTTGGGTGATAGAATATTTTTTTGATAATAATGAGTTGCCATGTTTCATATGACAAATTTTCGATTTATTAGGAGTGTCAGCGAAGAGGGTTTGCTAATCTTTTTCACATTTCTGTTTAATCTATAACACATGAGGACCAAATAAGTTTAATTACATTTGAGAAAACTAAAAAACGTGATACCGTTTTTTAAAGGTTTGAAGCAAAAACTTCCCTTATTTGTGAAACAGAAAATATACTCTTAGTTATGGAGTATTCAAGTGAAAAGTGCAAAAGATCAAGACTCACTGTAGTGAGTCGCGCGCCCCCCACCAATACTGAGAGTCTTTTCTTACACCACGTGATGGTGTATAAAATCAGATATTTGAGACTGTAAACCATCAAGACAACGTCAAAGTCCTTACAGGCTGATTTAGTTATCTTAGAACACAATTAACAAGACGAATTATTCTCCTCTGCTTTGTTGTTGCAATACAATATGCGATACTTTTTTTTTTAAAGCGCCACTATACCCTATTAATGGCTAAACTCAAAATCACGCAGTCTAGATCTATCTATCTCTCAATATAACTAACTTTGTTTTACTTTCTATATAACTTGAACTGCATTTTGTACGCGTATTTATAGCCTGACTGAGGCCTATAACTTTCCACACACAAGATATTATGATGTAATAATAGTCATCAAAACAACGAGAAAACTTAGAAGGTTCTAGCAAAATGACGTAACAATACAACAAGCGCCAATTCACAACAACTGAACTAGAGCATGTATGATTTGTACACAGTTACTTAAACAAACTTGCGATAAACTGTCGTTTCCAAAAATAACTAAAACTAACTCTCATGCGATACTAAGACTATCTAAATAATAATACTTGCATTAAACGCAAACAGTGATGTATAACTAACAGTACCACACATCTTTGAAAAACTTTAAATCGCTCGCGCCAATGGGTGGAATTTAGACTGGCTTCCGGTGTAAACACGCGAGACTCGCGAGCTGCTTGTTGATTGTTATTGTTTCTTTGTCCGAGCTAATAATATATTTGTTTGCAAGTTTAATTCATATGTTTATTTTCCATATACATAAGCCTATATATATACTCGTGTGCACTGTAGCTCGCGCTATCTATATAACTATAAGACTTTTGTTTTCTAGAATTATTCACTATGTGAGGAGTTTGTTTTACTGTTCACAATTTATTCACGTGTACCTACTAGTATAAGAGATTTGCAAGTGGTTTGACTTACTGGCAGTTTTTAGCCAGAATTGTCCAAGTTTTGACTGTTACTCACTATTAACTTGTTGTGTGTGCCTAGTGCTAACATTAGCAAGGATTGTTTGTTGTTAAATACACGTATAACAAAATATATGTGTATAGTATGCATAGATAGTTATATATTTATTAAAAACATGTATTTGCAGCTGTCACATCGTGGCCATATAATTTCTATTGAACAATGGTGGGTTGCTATTCGAAGCTTTAGAGTTTCCTTAAACTCTGGTACTTGCAAGCATGATGATATGACTGCTTATCATCATTGTATGCCACTTATGTAGTGAAGTACATGGAATATTATAGCAGCGAGTGCTTTATTGAAGGTGCCGTTTTTTGTTGTTCCTCTTTGGTTGTGGGGACATTGAGAGTGACCCTGGCCCAGGTCTTTATACAGTTTGTCATAATTGTGAAAGCAATATGCATGTTGAAAATCAATATGCTCATGTGGATATATTGTTCGAAAAAGTATTAAGCAAATATATATTAACATAAATGTATTTGCCAATTTTATGTCATTTTTATTTATTGTTAGTTGTTATTTTTAGCCTTGACATGTCTTCTGATTGTTCATCTGGCAGAGAGAAAGATGCTGGTTTTAAATCTGAAAGTCTAGTTGACACAATATGTGAATTCCCAGGCTGTAATACGTCAACTGGATATCCAGTTGCTGCAGCTAAGTGTAGTTTAGATGTTCATCCTTTTCAGAATGGTTCAACCAAACGAACACCAACACATGAGCACACTTTAAGCCAACATATTCATAAATATTCCAAATGGACTAATGGTAGTGAAGTGGTGAACACTAGTAGGAGGTAAAAGTATAAATCAAACCCCGAGACAAAAAGGCTTAGATTATTTCAGCACTATTACTCTCAGCTTCAAAAAAATGTTAGACGTAAAAATTATAAAAGTAATTCAAGCTCAATATTAAATCTTGTACGAGCAAGATATCATAGTAATCCATCTTCAGTAAGGCGTCTTTCATTGGATAGATATCATAGTAATCCATCTTCAGTAAGGCGACTTTCATTGGATAGATATTATAGTAATCCCTCTCCGGTAACGCGTCTTTCATTGGATATATATTATAGTAATCCCTTTCCGGCAAAGCGTCGGGCACAGGGTAAAAATTATACTAACTGTTGACCTGTGAAGTGATATGCTAAAAACAGGTATGATGCTAATCCTGAACCTGTATGTGCTAGGATGAAGCTAGCTTATCATGAAGACCCGACTGCAGAGATCTGCAAGCGATATGCTTATGCTGCTCTGATCCTGATCGTGTTCTGAATGGTGCAAACTTTTTATGCCTGAAGTAACTGAGGATATTTGCACCATATTCACTAACATTGCTAAGTGTACTCCATTATCAGCCAGGTGATATGTTCAGCAGGATGATTGCTCTCAGTCAGATATGCACGATCCACATCTACAAGGACACAACAGACTATACCACCTTGATGTGGCTCTAAATTATTATTTTTACGTCACTTTGCACCTCATTATCCTAACATCAGGAACATAATCAATATATTGTATGATGTCAGAAGAGCTGATTACAAAATCTGTGGCATTGACAGTGCACTACATAGAGGTGATGTATGTGCATTGCAGGAAATTTAAAAAAAAAGCACACGGTAACTAAAAAAACATTATGTTATAACGTGTTAAGCTTTGGTGAAAGTCAAATTTTTGAAACCTTGAAAACAGCTTTAACATTGTACCACACGAAGATATTAGAGCACGCTGAGTATCCTTGCATGTCATGTAACAAATACTGTTAGAAATGTGAATGTGAACAACTGGATCACTACACCTGACAGATCACTGGTGACGCTTGGGAATGGCTGCTGGAGTATGTAGAACAACATCCTGCTCCTGATTATGGGTTGCTTATGAGAAACATCTGTAGGTACTGTATAGAAAAATTCCGTGCAGGAATCCTTCCACCATGCTACATGTTATACTGTTTGACAATTGACACGTTTCCTTCAGAAATTGCCCAGATGAATCAATACGAAAGAGTATTGATTCAACGGCAAAAACCTTCTAGGCTGTAACTAAAATGTGAACGGTGGCTGGAAAACGAGTACCTCTTAGCCACATGGTCAGCTATGTGCCGGGTTCAACTTTTCATCTCCATTTGCTTTGTAACAGACCTCTGGAATAGGTTTTTCAGGCTATCCAAGCGTGAATAACCTATTCCAGAGCATGGAAGGCTACTTATGTTTTTGTGCAGCATACCTAGTTGCAAAAAATGTAGTTTAGCAGGATGTAATTGACATGCATAAGGTATATTCGGCTCTATGCAAGTTGAAAGAAATCAATCAATTCTTCATAACATTAATTTACCAACATCAGTATCAGGGTTATGATTAGATCAAAGAATAACTGAATTTGTTACCATATAACTCAACATTGATACTAATGAAGCTAAAACTGCTGTAGACCAAGAAAATGATGTTGAAATACATTGTGAAAAACTTCCTGACAGAGAACCCATGGTCAGAAGAAATGCATAAGAAGAGGAAGCAGAGGTGTGTCAAAACTATTTTATACAGACACTAAATGCTCCTAGGAAGAACGAAAAGACAACTTATCTTTACCAAATGCTATGTATTAACGAACCTACCCTAGATTCACGCTGCAAGAAGTTAAGATTATTGTGTTTCCCAGATCTTTTCCCATGTGATAACAGTGGGCAGCATCAATCAAGGGAAGTGCAACTTGATGATTCAGACTATGTTAAAACTATAACGCAGTCAGGCATTGCTCATTTTAGATTAAATCGACAATTTCTGTTCTACCATCTTCATCATGCTACCATACGTCAGCTAAATAGTGGAATCTTTCACAAATTAAAAGTTATTCATCCGCATGAGATGTTGACGACTAGATGATACATAGAAATGTTAGAAAGTCAAGCGCTTGAAGGGGATTTGCCCAATATATTGGCTCGCTTATGAAACAGTCAGAATTACTAATCACGACTGCAAAACAACCTAAATGCAATGACTCTGCATTATGGTCCAGATACTTGGTTTCTTACTCTGAGTCCTGATGAATGAATGTGGGATGATTTGGGCGAATATTCATGTAAGATTAGTCTTTCTGAAACGGCTCATCTATCCACAAGTGTGCTGGTTGGTATCCAATATCAGCTTCTAGAGTTATTGATAGCAAGTTTAAAGAAATCTTAGAATTCCTTATATCAAATGATGCTCCTATTGGAACAGTCACCCACGAGATTGGAGAGGAGAATATCAAAGACGTGGATTATAACATTTTCACCTACAGCTTTGGATAGATGGTGTCCCTGTGATTGGAGAAAACATAGATGAAGAAATTGTCGCATTTATTTCGAAAAACGTTACTTGCCAGATTCCAGATAAAAGCTTTTGTCCAATACTGCACGAAATAGTATCAAATTATGATTATGTGTATGTTAGTATTGATAAAAAAGCGGCCAAATGACAAGTAACTCATACATGCGCTATTGTTAATAAAATTGACAAACATGATAAAACAATTTTAAACCAATTATAAAGTTTACCTCTTTCGCAAGCACTTTTAAACTATGTATCTAATAATATTGATTGCCTTGGCCGCATTCTCATATCAATTATTTTAGTCGCTGTTTGTAAAACAAATAACTTTTTTCTTGGCCGCGTTTTTTCTTTTTACAGTTAAAATGTTTTTGGTTTAGATTTATATTGACTTGTAATCAAATATATTAGTTCGTCAATATAAGCATACTGATAAATCTTAGATAAAAGTACTTACAAATACACACATTGTTTATAGTGTTTTATATTTGTACAAAACTCTAGAAAGACCGGGGTGTATAAATCATGTAGAAATGTCTTCAGCTAATGCTTTGGCGGTTACGCACACATATACACACATGTATATATCTTCACTGTTGTAATACAAACTAGTGTTAGCAACTTTACAAAAATATTAAAATCCTGTAGAGAAATGTTACATAACATTAACGATATTATGTAAACTCTTCTTTTTAACATATCATAATTCTCTATAATAACAATTAGTTATAGCCTCTATTATTACCCCTTTTGGCGAATTAAGGAAGTTGAAGGAAAAGATGCTGCTATATGATGAATACTAAAATCATGTAACTTACTCATAAGGTATTTTGTTAGGATTTTTGTTTTTAGAATTTCGTGCAAAGCAAGCCGTTACTAATTTTGAATTGATAGACTACAGGGAAGGTAGTTAATCAATAAAGATCCATCACCAACTCTTGGACTATTCTTTACCGACGAATAGTGGGATTGACCGTCATATTATAACGCCCCCATGTTTGAAAGAGCGAGCATGATCGGTGATGGGATCCGAACCCGCGACCTGTAGGTTGCATATTAAGTGCCCTAAACACCAGGTCATGCCAGAACCCTATCGTGTAGCTTTGCGTTTAAAGAAATAAACAAACCCATTTATACATTTTTCTTTCTTGCACCCACAAGTGCCTTGATAAGGAATTTAAAGGCTTTAATTTTGGTTTGGGTTTAATTAATTTTAAGCACAAAGCTACACAATGGGCTATCTGCGCTCTATCAACCAGGGGTATCGAAACCAAGTTGATAATCTTTTGTTGAAAAATTTTAGTTTTTAAAATAGTAGAATTTGACAGAATTACCTTATATATAATTCACTAGTAATATCAATCAGTATATCATGAATAGGAATTGCTTCATTATACCATTGTGCATATTTTATGACAAAAAAACAACAACAACATACCCGAATTCATAGTTTACCCACAACAGATGTATTTTAGAGTTTATGATCACAGATTTGGTTAGTGATTTTAAACACAAGAGAAGATAAAACCATATTTTTAATAAAAATACGCTATCTAAAAATATTTTGAGATCAGCATTTCATATTTATATAAACAATAGAAAACGGTTTAGGATTAGGGGAAACATGATAAATAAAAGAACGTGCTGAGAATGTATGTTGATTAAGGTTGGTGACAAATATTTAGCGTTAAAGTTGACACAAACAACAAATATTCATGCACATTAGATTGTTTTGCACGAATAACGATAAGTTATATGTATTTTGGGACGAGATATAAAATTTGTCTCACCTTCCTCTTCAGTTTTGACTGCGATCCATTCGCTCTGAATGCCCCAAGCAACTGAATTCTGGGCAGTAATACTAACTAGATAAGTGGTTGCTGGTTCTAGATCACTAAGAACGGCTACACGATGAGGCTCGTCAACAGTAATATTATTGATCGATCTCTGTTTCTCTCCTATTAATTACATAGTTAAAGGTAAGTCATCAGATAGAATATAAAACTAACTATAAACTTATTTAATCTGGGAAAAATATTTCACAATTGACACGTAAGCCATTTAAACAATATCACTACGTCCCTCTAGGTCTGCGAATCCATCTACCCATCCATCCTTTTATAATTAAAACGATGTTTATTAATTTCTTTCTTTAAATTTTATACGTTGAATAAATTGGCGTTTGAATTAACAGTAAAATTAATCAAGGCTTTCTGTATTGAAAATAAAATATGAGATATACATGCGGTGAATTTTAAACACAAGTTAATTTTGTTGTGTAAAGTTCTCAAGAAAATTACAAATCTAAAATAAAGAAGTTTGTCCATAATGCTGCAGTTTTGACATATACAGATGGTACTAAAATATTTTCATCAATTGTTTAGAATATTGGGTTATCTTAGTAATTCATTTTACTGACTAATACGCAGTCAACCTTGGAATTACTTATGAAGAAAACACTACAACTGTAAATATAATATTTAAACATCAGATTATACATATAATTTATATGATTCTCTAAATTATGATTTCTTGTCCTCAAGGGTGCGTTTACCTGATATTACTTTACGTAAATTATGCCTTTGATTTTAATGTACCCATTTTGAGGCATGCACTCGGTAGTTATACTATCAAGTGTTTTTACATAATTCCAAATTTTGCTGCTTAACGTATACGGCTTAATGGTATACAAAGTTGACCAGCACTAATTTGATTTCTTAGCAACCCTTGATGACATTTTAAAATATTCCCAGCTACTGTCCTTTCAGTTAGGTTAAACCACAGTATATGATTAGTAACCCTAGAAATGTTGAAATAAAATAATTAAGCTCATGCCATAGGTTATTAATTAACACACCTTACTTTGATAATGCCAAACCAAGCACAAAAAAAAATACTTAGAAAAGCTAGAATGTGTAGGGGATATCAAAATAAAAAATTTGCAGTTTCAAATATTCTGTTAACAGATAGAAGCATTTACGAAATTATGTTGTTTTTATTCTCTTGCCTTCCAAATGGCGAAATAAACAATTTTAATGTTTATGTAGTGTTAACTAAATGACTTGTGCCTATATCGAAACGTTAAAAGCTTTTATAAAACAGTGATTGGTTATACTTTAAAGACAAAGTCAACATAATTAATAAATTAATGATAAACGAAAAATAATAAAAACTAGCAGAATATATGAATTTTGTAACATAAGTATACATAATGTTGCATAAGTATAAAATGAATTAACCCACTTAAGAATTTCACTTAAACTGTGATGTTTATCATTACGTTTTCCGCCTCATTAATCTACAAACTTAGCATGTATTGTTAATGTACTTACGACAGTTGGAAAAGCTTTTGTGTAAATATACCTTTTAACTAGATTAGGGATTTCGTTGAAATTTTTTTAATATATTTTTGAAGCTAAATACTCGTTTATTCTATTGTAGTTTTAATAAATTAATACTTTTACTAAGCTGGGAGATAAAGCACACATTAAACAAGACAGACGTCAACTCTGAGCATCATACTACAGAACTTCGAACTCTTTTCATCACACCGTGCCAAATTATCTAATAGATTATAATGCGCATGTGTAATGCAGGAATTTAAAATGAGTTACCTAATATTCATGCACCCGTGAAAATGTTAGATGTACCGCTATTAACTTTAAAGCATTTATGTATTCCGAACGTTAATATCTGTATGCATACCGTCTAATGTTAAAGCTGAAAAGTGTTGTATTTATGGCCAGCTTTGACATAACGTCATTCTGTTGAACCGAAATTCTCTTTAATGAAATTGTGAACATCTGACTTCATAGTGTTTAACTGTAACAATTAAATAGTTTCAACACTCATAATCAAGGAGTGCCTTGTTGACCAGACAGATGGCGATGATAGGGAGTCATTCCTCTAACCAACTTTAATTAACGCCTTTCTCTGTCACATCACTACAAGCAATCATGACTAGACAACCGTTCCCATGAATTTAAACTGAAGTTATGGTGATGATACTTTTCTAACATTTCGTTCCAAAGATCATGTATCTAAATTTTTAGGATAGCGAAACTCGTGGCAGTGCAACATAAAATTTGCTTGTAAGATTCACAACAACCTTTGTCTGCCCTACTTAGACATCCTTTTCTACGTACCGCAATAATACATTCAGTGGCCTCTCTACACGTGTTTCGACAGCTTTTCTCCCTCTAACTTCAAAGGTAACCTAACAGTTTTTCTTCTTACTAGAGTCTATAATATTTGTTCTTCATGTTTGTCTCTATACACAAAATAAAAATTGAACATGTTTCTCGTAAACAAAATAGGTATTCTGGGCTTTTTCTCGAAAACAACATTACTCCTAATGTTTTTGTTTGTTTGTATGTAGTTAAGCGTATAGCTACATATAGCTATCTGTGCTGTGCCCACCACGGGTATCGAAACTCGGTTTTTAACGTTATAAGCCTTCAGACTTACCACTATGCCACTCGGGGAGCACCCCTAATATTTTTGATGAAAACATTTAACTTTGTGGGATACATGTATACCACGTGTTTTCTTCCGTATTCTTATTTTAATATAGAATTTTTTGAAATTTGTCAGCTATTCAGGTGTATGTACACCTTTCGCATAGCATGCAGTCAAGAAGTCATTAAGTTACTATTATTCTACTTACCTATTGTTGTGCTGTTACAATGAGATAACCCCAGATCTTTTCATGGAGAAAATAGCTGTGTATAAAAGGTGACAGCAGATTCTCCATTGGTAGGTCAGGTGACGTCTCGAGGTTACCTTATTTTCTAATGGAAATGACTAGTCAAGTGGTCAAGTTAGCGTCAGTCATTCTGAGTAAGCGTTACGTTACTGATATAACTAAAGTAACGTGAGCTTTAGTCAGTCTGAATCAAGATTTACACTAATAGAGCCTGGAGAGAAAGTAATATGACTGTCTGTCGTATCATTGTTTTCTTATACAGTTGTGTCCAGTCTGTTTTTTTTTTACAAGACTAGGAAGAACTCAAAATTACTTTGCAATAAATCTTCGGTTACTCTGCTAGCCTTTTTTTTTCGCTCAACTTGAAAAAAAACACTATTACCATATTAGCAATACTAAATGGATTACTGCTCCTAAATGCCCCGTGTATTTATACTTTACTTAGTTAGGAAATCAGTTGAATTCTTAGAAATCAACTCATTAAACTGTTATATAAATAATACATCAAAATTCAACAGAGAATTTTCTGTAAATCTTCATATCAAACAAATCGTTATTTCCATTAGAAGGAATGCATACCAAGGCCATTTCCTTAATGGATCATTTTACTGGTATCTACACAGAAGCTACCTATAATGACAAAAACAAATGTAATTTAACTGTACGCATCCTTGAACACATAGAGATTTCTAACAGAACTGTTTCCTTTCTTATTATCTCCCTGTACCTTTGCTATCTACACACACAATCAAGCTAAGGACAGATAATCTTATCAACAGAGTTCAAAGTTAAAGCTACGGGTCATGCAGATTTATAATTTCTGATTAAATAGTCTTATTAAACAAAACGTCTTAGCTTAAATAATAACTTCTGTTAACTTAAGCTTATTTAAAGTAATTTTAATTGGCTATATAGTTACATTTAGTTATTTTTGGGTCTATATTCAAGTTCATACTCTGGTTTTCACACCTCCCCCCTTCGTTTCAAATTTCCCACGAAGCTACTCGAGGGCTATCAGCGCTAGCAGTTCCTAATTTAAAGGGGAAGGCTATTTTTTACCAACGAATAGTAGGCTTGACTGTCACATTATAATGCCCTCCGGCTGAAAGGGTGAGCGTGTTCGGTAACGGGATTCGAACCCACGACACGCAGGTCGAGTGCTCTTAACCACAAGGCCACGCCAGGCCTCTCCACTTTGAGTCTCGGTCATGTTCTTGCTTCCGATTATTCTTTTGTATTTACTGTAGGAATTAGTTGAAGGCAGAATGTCCGTATTCAGAGATATTCAATAAATATGTTATTATTGTGATGTTAATTAATAGTCTATATCAAGTTTGAACTTAAACGAAATCGATGGAATGGTTAAAACATTTTGCTCTTGAGTTATTGCCAAAAATATAAAGATTGCCCTACATTTCTTTGATCAATCGATTTTATTACTACACTTTACAGCTGTATAATGCTTAAATGTAGGAGGAACGGAGGGGAACGACAATCATTTGTAACGTTGGTTTTTAGTTAGCTTTATTCTTTGTTATTTTTTGTAAAGTGATTGTTAAATCTAATATTGGTTGATGAATGAGATAATTCAATTCCCGGAGTATTTATTTATATGAGATATAATTACTTCTTTAATTATATTTATGGAGTTTACTATATTTTGTTAAGTAGTGCAAATTCTAGCACATCATTTAAAAATACGGGAAAAATTACACATGAGTTACCACGAAAAACGCTACACCACATATACTGAGTTTATGGAGTTTACTATATTTTGTTAAGTAGTGCAAATTCTAGCACTTCATTTAAAAATACGGGAAAAAATTACACATGAGTTACTAAGAAAAACGCTACACCACATATACTGAGTTTAATGTCGGGATAGCAGCGACTAAACCCATGCGTAAGTATATACACATCTTGTGAAACACGTAAAAACGTATTTTGATGCAAATCAAACTTTAATTATAACTTGTAATTATTCTACATGTTTCGGCAATATTTCACTGCCAAAGCTACACATACGACAACATTGTGCAATTTAAACAAGAAAAGGACTATCTCATTACACAGATGGGGAGGACGGAAGATTATTATTTTTTACAGTACTAAATTGTCACACCATAACCTGTATATATTTATTTATTGGTCCATCGTCGCTATTTAATAAAGTGTGTTTTACTTTACTACACACTATTTTATAGATTCTCGAGATTAAGGTCAATTACACTCAATTCGACCACATCCAATGGA